CTAGGTTATATTTGCACACACACACACACACACACACACATCTGGGTTAAGTGCTGAGAGCCTAATTATTGCCATCGTGACACTTCCTCTCTCTAGAGAGGGTCAATCCTTCATCATAACAGAACATTAGTGTCTCACTGATCAGAACACAGACAGAGAGAGAAAGACTGAGAGAAATCAGCTTCACAGAGGCGTCTGATATTCAGAGCAGATCTTCATTCCCCTGCACACTGGTCTGTGTGTGTGTGTTTGGGGGTGTCTTTCAAACCAAAGTTTAAGAATAAAACTGTTCTCATAATTGAGCTAAATCTGATAAATCATGCATCGACTGGAAAAATACATTTAGTTTTTTTTTTTAAGTTTTGACAATATCTGAATGGTTTTATGGCACTTTCCTCAAATACAGGCGGCATTTTTAAACATCAAATATATCTGTAGTAAAATCAGGGACATTGGCAAAAGTGATTTTTATATACACATAAAGCATATTAAATGCAAGTAAAGTGCTTACTTTGTTTCAAATAACTTCTGTGAAAATAAAATGTCAGTATATGGGATAAGTAACATTCCATCGGCATTCAGCGTAACATGTATTTATGTAAAACCTATTTAAGGCTTGTTCTAAATATGCCTGCCAGGATTTTTTTGTATATGATCTATTGTTACACTGAATGACATTTAGTGGGTATCTTCTGTAAATCATGCTAAAAATATATGATAGTCATTATTTTTTTGCTCAGAATTTTTTTTTTATTAAACACATTCTAATGTACGGGGAAAATGGAATTTGAAGCTGTATTAAAGTTATTTTATTGTTTTTGACCCATATATAATTGTAATGACCAAAATTAAATATTCAGGAAGTGACAACATTTGCAACATTTGGTGAGTATTAAAGTCATTAAATATAAAAGTTCACAAAAAAAAAAAAATATTTGAAGTAAAATAAACTGAAAAACAAAAAAACAAAAACAAATTACCAAAACTAGTTGCCAAAGTAACATTTCTCATTTTCATTTAGTTGAACTTGGTGTACTAAAATAAAAAGAAAACTGAAATTAAAATTAATGAAAACTATATTGAGATATAAAAAAAAAAAGAGTAACTAAAAATGACTAAAACACTACAAAAGTATAAACCTTCAATTAAAATTAGAATGGAAATGAAAAAAAAAATATATATATACATAAATAATAAAAAAAACTACAATACAATCGTAATTATTCTAAAATAACAACAACAACAAAAAAGGAAATATTTAAAAATGTTTCCTTGAATGCATTTGGCAAACTCAAGAAACATCTGTAAAACTGACATCTGTGCCATTATTTTGTGTGCTATCTGTGGAAGGCGTCTTATTTTCTTGCACTGAAGCGGCGTGAGTCTGCGGTGACCTGCTCTCAGCGTCTTGACTGGATGCTGTGAATTAGCCTGAGATGTTTCTCAGCATCAGCTGTTTTTCTGTCCTGCTTTCACTGAGGGCATGAACGGCGACTGACACGTCTGCAGCTCACTGCTGTCATTCCACTCGACTGGAAACGTTTCGTAGTAAGATACGGCATATTCCACGCTAATTAAATCCTCATCCACCTGTTTACCTCTCATTTAACACAACATACACAGAGTTTGAGCGAACATGAATGTAATCTAAATGTAAATTAAATGAGCTTCATTGCATTCTGTTGGCAATTATTAAAGCTGTTTTAAGTTTAACTTTCGGGACTCTTTACTATTTCCTCCTTATCTCAAAACTGTCATTTATTTAAAGTCTTTCAAGTTTAATTACCACTTTTTTTTCTTTTTATTTTACTGGCCATAAAAATAGACTTATTTGCATGTTCTGGTTTTTCTGAACTTTTCTCACACATTTAAAGCAGCATTTCTGACGCATAGCAGGAGAAACTCACAGACTCTGAGTTTACTTGTAAATGTTTAATGTATTGAATGTCAGGATTGGAAAGATCTTCATTAAAGAAACATAAGCGCAGTTTTAAGTTTTATCTGTAGATACGAAATCTTTCTGAACTCTCTTTTCCCTGTTTTCTGCACTGATTTCAAACATGCAATTATATGGGACGGCAGACTCTGCAGGTGCTGGATAAATGCAGCTTGTTTTCAGTAGGATACAGATTTTACTCCTGATTTTTGAATTAATATAAATATGCTAAAGCATGTCAAACCAAGCTGAGAGCAATACAATTTGCTGGAAGCACAATCAAATTAGCCAAAATTATAAATTTGAGGAAATCTATGGACATTTCTGTAGAGCTGCCAATATGTAAGATATAATGTGTTTTAGTACCCCTTGTGAAAAGCAAGTACATTTAAGCATATACTTATTACTTAATATACTTTAAAGAATATCGTGTTTTGGACACTTAATTGCATGCTATTTGCAATTAAATGAAAATATATTATAGTTTACATTTATATTACATTACATATTTTTGCAATTTTTATGTTAAAAAGTTAACTTTTAAAAAGTTAAAATTTTTTGGACCCACTTAAGTAGGAATTAAGTACATCTTTATGTCATTTCATAATTACTTATGTTTTCTTTGAAATATGGTTAAAGTGCTGCTGAATGTACTGACAAGCATTTATGAAAAGCTAAAATATAAACAAATGATAATGTATTTCTATTGAGACTTGTATGCCGTGAATTTATGTTTGAAATTACACATTTGTCAAGTTGTAATTTAGTGCATTTAAAATATATTAACTTTAAATCTAATATCAAATGACACACAACAGTTAACATGATAATCAAGTTCTTCACATGTGCTTTAGTATGTTAGTCAACACATCCAAATAAGTGTACTTGTCATGTAAAACATGACTAAAGACTACTAAAACATAATTTAAAATGAACTTTAAAACTTGACATATTTTGACAAAATGTCTCTAGTATTTCATTGCTATCTTTTCTGCAAGTACAGTTTATAAAAAAATATATATTTTTAAGATTTGAAGTACACTACAAGTGCACATTCAATAACAATTAAGTGCACTTCTTTTTCACAAGCGTGTGTGTGTGTGTCTGTGTGTGTGTGTATATGTGTGTGTGTGTGTGTCTCTGTGTGTGTGTCTCTCTGTGTGTGTGTGTGTGCGTGCGTGTGTGTGAGAGTGTGAGCGTGTCTGTGTGTGTGTGTATATGTGTGTGTGTGTGTGTCTCTGTGTGTGTGTCTCTCTGTGTGTGTGTGTGTGCGTGTGAGTGTGTCTGTGTGTGTCTGTGTCTGTGTCTGTGTCTGTGTCTGTGTCTGTGTGAGCGTGTGAGTGTGTCTGTGTGTGTGTGTGTGTGTCTGTGTGTCTGTGTCTGTGTGTCTGTGTGTCTGTGTGTCTGTGTGTGTGTGTGTGTGTGTGTGCGTGTGCG